TGTCTCAATACCCCACAGTGTGGATGCACTGAAGTAGAAGGGAAGATGGGGCCTGCTCAGGTCAAGATGGTCCAAGCACAGCAAGGCAGGCCCTTCTTCATTCTGGTCAGACTAATGGAGTCTGTCTCAATACCCCACAGTGTGGATGCACTGAAGTAGAAGGGAAGATGGGGCCTGCTCAGGCCAAGATGGTCCAAGCACAGCAAGGCAGGCCCTTCTTCATTCTGGTCAGACTAATGGAGCCCATGGACCTGTCACCTGGACTTGGGGACAGAGCCTGCCCAGGTGAGGTAGCTGGGTCTCAGTGACAGCTGCAGGTCCACCTGCTCTCAGAATCTATATCAGCCATCACTGCATCGTCTCTTTCCTCTTCATGCTGGTCAATAACAGCAGGGTCAGCGGTGAGGACACAATTACTAAGGGTTCCTACAATGCAAACCCCTATGCCATCAGCCCCAAGCACAGGGGAGCTCCCCTTTCCTGTGTCTCTGTGCTCAAGGCCGGCCCTCCACAGCTTGCTGGAGTTGCCACCAGTGCCAGGCTTTGCTAGGGCGTCCAGCCCCAGGGCCTAGCCCAAGGCTGTGGAGAGCTGGGGTATGCCAGGGGCTGAGGGTCAGGGTAGGACTGGGAAGTTCCAGTGGAGAGAGGACACAAAGGGAATGCAGATCTGCTGAGCCCCAGGCAGGAGCCAGGACACACCCAGACACTGGAGGAAAAGATCTGGGCCCTGAAACCAGAATCTCAGGGGCGAACCCCAGGCCCCAGAGACTCTCTAGACTCGGGCACGGCAAAGTAGAAAAGAGAAGCATCGTGTCCCCCAGAACACACACTGGCTTGGCAGGCAGACAAGTAAGTGTGCACACCAGCGCTCCCTCTCAGAAGCTGGGATCAACTTTTCTGAGCCTAACTTTCCCATGTGTACCGTGGACATAACAGCAAGACTTCTTTTATGAAGTTCTACTAGAGACTGAATGTGATCATGTATGTAAGGTGACTAGCCTGGAGCTTGGCCACAATAACTTATTCCAACAATGGTAATTATTATTCGAGGCAAGGGTTGCACCAGATGAGGGGCCTCAGGTACACTCCATGGAGACTGGAGGCAGCTGTGGCACGGCTTCCCACCACAGGGGGCAGCACTGAGCAGGCTCCCTGATTTCTTCACCTGCCCTGCACGTGTCCCTCCAGGCACCCCACCATCCTTCACACTGGCCCACTACTGGGACAAGGTTGTGTCACCCTGGACAATGCAGTCAGCTAAGAGGAAATGTCCAGGGCCAGCACAGGGTTGAACCAGGAAATGTCACATTTTGGGAGGAAAATCCGCAATTGACAGCAATGATCATTTCTAAACAATCTAAGACGTCGCACGGCCACCCTTTGGCCCCGTTCCTCACGCCCTCAGCCCCTACCTTGGCCTTCTTCATCTCGGCCACCTCGGCCTGCAGCTTCCTCAGCTCCCTCTCATAGCGCGACTGGTTCTTGAGCAGCCGGGCGTGCTCCTTCTGTGCGGCCTGCAGCTTCTGCAGGTCCCGGTTCATCTCCCGCAGCCTCTTCTCATAGTCTGCCTTGATCTTGTTGGCCTTTTCCTCCGTGTAGCACTCCATGGTGCCTAGACAGCAAGACGCAGCTGTCAGGGTCACAGCCTCAGGTGCTCCCACTAAATGTGGGCTCACTGACGCGGAGGCAGGAGGCCTGGGCTCTAGTCTCGCTGCGAGACCTTGGGCAAGTCACTCCTCTCTGAGCCTGTTCCTTCATTTGAACAATGAGGGGGACAGACTAGCTGATGCCCAAGGGCCCTTTCTACTCTCGCTCTTGATTGGAACATGGGGGAGGGGTTTCATCTTGAGATCTCAGAGCCCCTGGTCCCCAGCTTCCTGTGAGGGTCCTGTGGCCCACTCATGCTGGCTCAGTTTTGACCCATGATCTAGGGTTGGAGGACAGGGCTGAGGCCAGTGGGAAGGGGAAGAGTTAGCAAGAGAACAGAGTGACATGGGCTGGAGCAGAAGGAATAAGCCGATTCTCCACCCTAGACTCTCCTACCTGAGCTGCCAAACTGAACAGGCACATCCGATCTCCTCATCTCCACCCCCTCACTCCATCTCAGTAGCTATCACCACCATGCTTCCAGAAGCTCACACCCCCAGACATCCATGGCTCCCCTTTCTCTCACAGCCCCACTCATCAATCAGCAAAGTTTTTTGGCTCGACCTTCACAATCTCTCCAGAATCTGACCATTTCTCACCACCTCCGGTCCAAGCCATCCCTCCTAGGATCTTTATAACAGTTTCCTAAGTGGTCTCCAGCTTCCCGTCCTTTTCTCCTACACAGCAGCAGAGTGCTCTTTCAAAAGTGCGTTTAAATTTTACATCACGTACCTTTCTCAAAACTCCAGACCTTCTCATCTCCCTCCTTGCAATGTCCTCACAATGACTGACATGTCCTTGTCCCACAGTTTTTCTCTGCCCTTTCACTGTGACCCTCTCACTGTACTCAGCCATTCTGGCTCCCTCAGCACTTCACCAACATGCCAGGCACATGGCTGCCTCAGGGCCCTGGCATCTTCTGTTCCCTCTGCCTGAATGCTCTTCCCCTCGCTCATTCTGCTCTAGCACCATCTCACCTCCTTAAACGCTTTGCTCAATGTCACCTTCTCAGTGAAGTCTTCCATGACCATCCTTTTAAAAACTCCAACCCACTCCCCAGCACTTCCTATCCCCTTTCCCTGCTTTATTTATTTTTTTTGTAATACTTATCACCATCTGATATGCTATAGATTCTGCTTATTTATTTTGTTGATGTCTGTCTCTCTCCATAAGACTGTAAAAATTCCTCCATGAAAGCAGGTATTTTGCTCACTCCAGTATCTCTAGCACCTGAAATAACGTCTGCTCTATACGATGTATTCAACTAATGTTTGCTGAGTAAGTGAACGAACAAATGAATAAATCAAAAAGAGAATGAATGAGCTGAAGAGCAGTGTGAGGCAGACAGAATGTGAGAAAAGGTTTATAAACTGGTCCAAAGAAAAAGACCCAAGGGACCGAATCAGAAGGGTGGAGGTGCGTATCATGCTCACGTGCCTCGACATATAAAGGATTCTAACACATAAGATCATAGTAGAAAACAAAGATTACTTTAAAACGTAGCATAGGAACTAGGGTTACACATAACTTTTAACTGTAGGTCAAAGGGCCAGAGTGAGAGGGTCAGAAGTCCCTTGCCTAGAAAACCAGGTAAATCCCCCAAATGCTGGCTGCTGGGTAGTGCTTTTGACAGGGGAGGGCCTTGGGGGAAGCGAGAGTCCAGGTGGGGCCGGGTGGGGTGGCGCTGGCCTTACTGAGGTTCTGCAGCACGCGGTCGCGCTCCAGCTGCCCCAAATGCTGGCTGCTGGGTAGTGCTTTTGACAGGGGAGGGCCTTGGGGGAAGCGAGAGTCTGGGTGGGGCCGGGTGGGGTGGCGCTGGCCTTACTGAGGTTCTGCAGCACGCGGTCGCGCTCCAGCTGTGTGTCTCGGATCTTGTTCTGTAGCAGAATCAGCTTCTCCTCGTACTGGTGCTTGAGCGTCTGCAGCCGCCGCTGGCTATTCTCCAGCTCATCAATCAGCTTCTGCTTGATCTCGATCTCACACGTTAGGTCGGCCAGGTCCGCCTGGAAGTTCATCTCTGTGGGGGCAGAGCCAGGTTCAGCCCAGTGCCAGGCGAGGGGCAAGGGGTGGGATAGCCCTGGGGGGTTGAGGTCTTGCTCTGGCCAGCCATGACCAATCAGCGGCCAGAGGCTGGGAGAAATGATAAATGTGGCCGTGGGTAGAGCACGGCTGGATGGGGCAGAAAGAGCAGCCCTAGAAATGCAAGGCTGGGCTCAGGAGCTGGGAGGGGGGTCTGGACATCCTTCTCACCCCTGTTGTGCCCCAGAGGCCAACATCCACCTGTTGTGGGTGACATGGGCCCCAGCTTGGGAGGAGAAGGGTGCGATGACCAAGAGCGCTTTGCAGGGCTGTGGGCCAGAGACCGCAGCAGGGCAGGGCTGAGGGAGCAGGTGGCCCACTTAAAGGAGTGGACTTCAGCACCGGCCAGATCTACATGCAACACCCTGCTCTGCACCAACCAAACCGGGGAGAGTCACGGAGCCTCTGTGAGCTTGGTTTTCGATGGTGATATAGAGAAAACTCTTAACACCTACGCACGCGGTAGAGGTGAGGACTGAAAGGACCAAGCCATGTAAGGGTTAAGGAAGCACAGTGCCTGGCACCTGACGAGCGCTCAGTGTTCCCTGCTGTTATTATCACTACCGTTGCCGTCACTTGTTTCGTGTCTGGTGGGTCTGGGCCCCGGACAACCCTATCTTTGAAAACTCAAGCAGGGCCTGACCCCACCTCTGGGCACTGGCAGCCAGGCGTCCCCGAGCCCCCAGCCCGGCCCACGCACGCTTCTCCTCAGGGTCTGAGTCCGAGTCGGCCAGGCTCTCATCGCTGCCCGAGTCCTCGTCCTCGTCCTCGCGTCCTTCGTCCTCCTCACAGCCACTGCCATCTCGCTCTTCCTCCTCCTGGGCACCAAGCACCATTAGGGGAGGCCTGGCCTCGGGAGAGGGGGGCCCAAAGCAGAGGCGAGTCTGGACACAATGCCTCAGGTGTGGGGTGGGGGTTGGGGCAGGCCCCAGTCAAGGCCCCCTTTGCCCACCCCACTCCCAGAGAGGACCACCCTCCCCAGTGGCCTGAGTGAGCCCCTCTGGGAGGGCCGTGCTCACTGAGCCATCCATTTGGGATGAGGTGGGGGCCTGAGGGATGGAGATCACCATGGCAACCAGTCAGAAAGATTAGGAAGCACAAGGGTCAACCGGATGCAGGCCCAGCACCCACCCCCACCCTGTGCCAGGATGTGCATGGGCTCCGACCCCAGCAGGACCATGGCGGTAAGGCGTGGTGCGGGGCAGGGTCCCGACCTCCTCTGCCTCATGCTCGTCGGTTTCCTCGCTGTTGTCCTGCTGGAACTTCGCCCTCTTTCTGAAGGCTTCCTTCTCTGGGCTGCTCATGGACGGAAGGGGAGGTCAGATGAGGGGGACCAGCCCTGCTTGGGCACGAGGCAGGGGGGAAGGGACGGAGAGGGTAAAGAATGCCCTTGCCCAGAGCGCATGAGGTGGGGCTAGACCCCTGCTCTGGAGCATCTGCTGCTTTTCTCTCGCCCCCAGTCCAGACTGACCTTGGTTAACCTCCCTCCTTCCTCTCCTTGGGGAAAGCACAGCATTGGAGAAAATCGAGGGGAGGGGATGTCTCTGCTCACAAGGCCGAGCAGACCTGCTCCACGAGTTCCCGAGCAATACTCAGGGAGCCCCTGGGAGGGGGCTGGAGGTCGGTCCCTCCTGACACAGGTGGGCAGCAGTCCTCCCCAAGGAGGGGGCGCGCCGCAGGGTGCTGGGGGCAGGTGGCGCCCCCCACTCGCCTCTTCCTCCGCTGCCGGACCTCCCTCTTCTTTAGCCGCTCCAGGTCCTGCTTGGCCCTGCGGATCACCTCGGACGCATCCTCCATGGAGCTGGCCGGGGCGGCCGGGGAAGCGCCCAGGGCGTAGGGGCTCCGAGCCGAGGCCCGCGAGAGGCTGCGGCGAAGGGACTCGTTCATGGCCTCACTCTCCAGGAGCTTGGTCCTGCGTGGCAAGAGCGAGTGAGCGGTGTCCTGGCCAAGGCCCCGCGTGCCCACCGCCCGCCACCCCCGCGGGCTCGCTCACCGCAGCTCCTCGATCTCGCGGATGTAGTTCTGGATCAGCGTGCGCCGCAGGGTGCTGGGGGCAGGTGGCGCCCCCCACTCGCCTCTTCCTCCGCTGCCGGACCTCCCTCTTCTTTAGCCGCTCCAGGTCCTGCTTGGCCCTGCGGATCACCTCGGACGCATCCTCCATGGAGCTGGCCGGGGCGGCCGGGGAAGCGCCCAGGGCGTAGGGGCTCCGAGCCGAGGCCCGCGAGAGGCTGCGGCGAAGGGACTCGTTCATGGCCTCACTCTCCAGGAGCTTGGTCCTGCGTGCCAAGAGCGAGTGAGCGGTGTCCTGGCCAAGGCCACGCGTGCCCACCGCCCGCCACCCCCGCGGGCTCGCTCACCGCAGCTCCTCGATCTCGCGGATGTAGTTCTGGATCAGCGCGCCAATGGCCTCATTGCCATCACCTGGGCGGGACAACAGGGGCGTGCAATAAAGACCGTAAGTGACAGCAGGGACCTTCTGCACTAAGACTGGCCGTCGTGTATCTGTGCCTGCAATAGGGTCGCTCACATGCGCCTTTTCCAAAAAGGCGTCTTTACCAAAGAAATACTTGTACGTGTGCATGGACGCATACAAGCACTGTTGTTAATAGCGGGAAATTGGAAGCAACCTAAATGTCCATCCATAGTGGGCTGTTGAATAAACTATTCACTACCGCCTATGGAACACCATGCAGCAGCTTAAAAGACTTAAGCAGGTTTTCATATGGAAAGATTTCTAAATCATAATGCTAAATGAAAAAGGGAAGCCACAGACTGATGTATATGATCTCGTATACAGAAAAAGAGAGTGTACATTCATGCACATATATATGATGTATGTGAACATATATTCATATTTAAAACAAATGTACTGAGAAAGGTGTGGAAAAATATATACCAAGCTGTTTGTGAAGGTTCCTTCTGAGAAGTAGAGAGGGCGTGGGGTACAATATTCATATTTAAAACAAATGTACTGAGAAAGGTGTGGAAAAATATATACCAAGCTGTTTGCGAAGGTTCCTTCTGAGAAGTAGAGAGGGCGTGGGGTACAGAGTTTAGTGAGAGGGGATTTTAACCTTTCTCTTTACATACGGATGCATTGCTTGCATGTTTATCAAGAAGGATGTATTCTTGTGTTGTACAAAAACGTTTTAAAATCAATTGAAAAAATGCACAAACGAATTGCCTGTGAATTGACTGGCCAGCTTAGCCCACCCGACATCTTGGGTGGGTGTGGGAGGGGGTGTCCCAGCTGTTGGTTCTCTGAGCTGACCTGCTTGCACCCCAACTTACCAGCCTTGGCCAGGAGCAAGTTGGCCTCCTGGCTCATGAGATGGGTGACGCGACTGTTGATGGCGTCAATGGCCTCCTGCATGGCCTTTACCCGCATCCGCAGTGCCCCGTTCTCCTTCTGTAGCATGGCGTTCTCCCGGAACAGGTCACTGTAGCCCTCGGAGCCGTCCTCCCCAATCACCCGCTTGCCCTGAGAGGAGTGGCAGGTGGGGAGCAGTTAGGCCCCGGAGCTCACAGGAGGGGAAGGGGGTGATGATGCGCCTCTCTGCCAGTGCCCAGCCTTTCCCTGGATATGGTAGCACTGCCAATCTACCCTGCCTCGGGTTTCCTAAAACATAGCTCTGGTCTCCCAATGCTCAAAACCTTACATAGCTCCCCTCGACAACAAAAATGTCCAAATTCTGTAACCAGCCATTCAAGGCCTCCCACAATCTCATCTTGACCTACCTTTCCACTATTCACTTTCCTGTCTCCAAAAATGCTAATCCAAGGGTCAAAACCCTACCTGGGCCAGGCTGTTGCCATAAATGAGTGAGTCAGTCTGGTGTAAGACAATAGGGAGTGGTGAAGACTGGAGCTAAAAGAGTCACAGACTCAACCTAAAAGGAGCAGCCTCTATGCTACTCCAGACAACTTAGTGCCATATGTTGTTGGATCTTCAAAATTTTCCAGAAAAAGTGAAACTTCCTGACTTTCAAAAAGATTGACAACTAAAAGTCCATTCTTTTAAAACACATACAAGCCAAACCAAAACCCATCTGTGTGCCAGATTCAGGCCATGGCACCAGTTGGTAACTTCAGCCCTGATCACATAAAATTAGACACTTCCCCCAAAACACTCTTTTTTTTAGCATTTCTGTTTCTTTGTGCATGGCTTATTCTCTGCTTAGAGTGCCTGCCCCACCTTCTTCTGCTGATAACTTATTTATTCTTCAAAATTCATATAAAAGGCCTCCTCCTCCATGAAGTGCTCCCTGACTTCCCAAGTGAATAAGACCAGCTCTCTCCTCTGCCCTGCTGCAGCACACTGGTCTATTCCTGTGGTTGCCATTGTCAACTGTTCTGTATCACAGCCTAGCAGTCTCATTTGTTCCAATACAGCATGTTAAGTAAACATGAAAACACCCAGACAGTGTCTGCCCTGTGCATGAGATCTATGCAACAAGAGCCAAGATGTTCTTCTTTCTCAGACTTAGCACTCAAAAACCTTGAGGGTGTAGACTGCGTTTGGTTCACAGGGGTAAGGCCCTGGTACTAAGCATCATGCCTGGCACACAGCCAATACTCAGGAGGTACATGAGGAGCAGGTGGGGAGGTGGGGGGATGCTTAGGAAGCCCAGGTGAGACTGTAGGGCAGAGGGTGCGCAGCAGGGCACTGGCTCCACTAGGGGTGGTGGGCAGTGGCCAGGCATGCTCACCGCCTTGTACTCCATCAGCTCCATCTGCAGGCGGGCGATCTCAGCCCGCAGTGCACTGATCTGCTGGCTGGTCTTGTCCTGGTTTACCACTACTTTGTTCTTGATGTTGCGGGCCCGATTGGCGTATTTCAGTGTGTTGAGTGTCTCCATGAAGTCCCGGTCTGAGGGGCTCACGCAGGCAATCATGATGGTCTGGCTGGGGGTGCAGTCAGGCCAGGGTGAGGACGAGGGACACAGCAGCCCCCAGAAGCAATGCCTTAGAGTAGAGGTCCTGCTCCCACCCCATTCCCCCACTGCTTTCATGCCCAAAGGACCTGGACTTTCAAGAGGGCAGAACCTGAGACATGGTGACTGGGACCACCAGGCCCAGAGTTTCCATGGCAACAGTGGGTGACCCCAGTGAAGGTGGCTAACAAGGTCAGGGAGGTTATAATGTGTAATTGCCAGAGTCCTCTGCTCTGGTGATGCAGATGAGCCACAGTCCCTGCAATTTTCTAGTATTTCCCATCTATTTTCTCATTTGGGCTATATCACTGCCTTTAGGAATATCTCTCCCTGTTGCTCAGATAAGGAAACTGAGTCAGACCATAATTGGCCAAAGGTCACAGAGCACCTCAAGGTCCCTGCCTTCTAACCTACAGCCTGGGATAGGAAAGCCTCCTCCTGCAGGGGGTCATCACGCACCAAACCCTCAGATCAGCGTTCCCCAGGAACCTCCTTGCCTTCCCCTCGCCTTCACTGGCCATTGGTTGTCAGGTCCCTGTTGCCCCCCAGCGAGTCCGGGAGGGGCCGAGTGAGCTTGGAGTCCCTGTAGGGCACGTGT